GAGGCAGACATTATTACTGAAGATGAACACACAATGGTGCAATTGTAAATCTGCTCTGCCTTCAGCAGTCTGGTCTTCCCCTTTTTATAGTATATGAATTTTATAAACCTCATACAGAGTACTGTGGGTGGAACTAGGCCAACTGCTGGAGTGGCACATGTGACATGAAGGGGTGAGTGTCATCCTATCCCACTGGGCCTCAAGATGTCAGCTATATTGAACTTTTACATGGGCGGAGTCATTTGGGACCTGTGTGGGGTCTCTCCACCATCCACTCACAAATATATTAAGGCTGTGATAGTTGCAGCTAGTGCCAGATCACACTACATTGTCTCATTTCCAGGTGATGAGGTCAGCGCTACAGCTCAGGCAGTGTGCTTCAGCTCCAGGGCAGGGCACAATGGACTGTACACACATCATGCTGAGAGGACCAGACCAGAATGCAACTGAGTTCATCACTACAAAAGGCTCCTAGTTCATGAATGTGCAGGTGACCTGTGATCATTTGTTCCACTGTTTAGAAGTTTGCCTCCAGTATCCTGACATCCGCCAGGTGCCCATATCCGTGAAAACTCTCATGTTCCTGCTGTGCCAGATGCTTTACAAGAATTGTTACTGGAAGACAAGGCTTATCCACTGTGACCATGGCTTCCTTACACAACCCCTTGAGTCAGCCAGAACACAGATAAAATACAGCCCACTCTTTGAGCAGGACGAAGGTGCCTCCAATAGATCTGCTGAAAAGAATACGGATGGCACGGTGGCTCAATGGTTAGCAATGCTGCTTCACAGCGCCAGGGACTTGGGTTCGATTCCACCCTTGGGTGACTGTCTGTGTGGAGTTTGCATATTCTCTCCATGCTCTGGTTTGTCCCACAGTCTAAAGATGTGCAGGCTGGGTGGACTGGCCATGTTAAATTGCCCGTAGTGTTCAGGGATGTGTAGATTAGGTGTGTTAGCCATGGGAAATGCAGTGTTACAGGGAAAGTGTAGGGGGATGGGTCTGGGTGGGATGCTCTTCAGAGGGTTGGTGTGGATTCGTTGGGCCAAATGGCCTGTTTCCACACTGTAGGGATTCTATGAACAGGTTCTGCTGCTTAGACCAGTTTGGGGTGTTTGGATGTTCAGTTCACACTATACACAGTGAGTCACAATTCTTGAACTGCACAACTGAACCAGGCAAAGATGGAATAATGATGGATGCTGAAGAGCTGGGAGAGTAGAAGCAGTCTTCCAAGGAGGAGGATGAGGACATTCAACAGCAGGAGCAGCACCTTCTGTATGAGAGAGTGCAGTAGCATTGGGTGCCTTGAGCCAGTTAGGCCATTGTCCATTTCCAACACATCCCTTCCTTTCCTTAACCTCTCCGTCTCCATTTTGAGGACTAAACTATCCACAAAGCCACTGACTCCCAAAGCTACCTTCACTGCAGCTCTTCCCACCCCATGTCCTGCAAGGACTCCATCCCATTCTCCCAGTTCCTTTGCCTACACTACATCTGTTCAGATGATGCAACGTTCTAAAACAGTGCTGCTGACATGGGTTCCTTCTTCCATAACCGTGGGTTCCCACCCACTGCGGTTGACAGGGCCCTCAAGCGCATCCAACCTATTACACATGCTTCTGCCCTTGCTCCTTCCCATCACGCATGACAATGTGATCGGGTTACCCTTGTCCTTACTGTTCACCCCACCAGCCTCCGCATTCATAGGATCATTCTCCACTATTTCAGACAACTCCAGCAGAATGCCACCACCAAACACATCGTCTCCTCACTCTTCCTGTCTGCATTTTGCAGGGATCGTTCCCTCTGGGACACCCTAGTTCATTCCTAGATCAATAACACCATCCGCCTTCCCACAGCACCTTCCCATGTAAGCGCAGAAGGTGCAACACCTGCCCCTTTACTTCCTCCATGCTCACCATCCAATGACCGAAATAGTCTTTCTAGATGAAGCAACATTTCACCTGTACCTCCTTCAATATTGTGTATTGTATTCACTGCACCCAATGTGGCCTACTCTACATTGGGGAAACTAAACACAGACTGGGTGACTGCTTTGCAGAACACCTCCGGTCTGTGTGCAAGTATGACCCTGACCTTCTCGTAACCAAGAATTTTAACACAGCATCTTGATCACATGCCTATTTGTCTGTCCTCGGCATGTTGCAATGCTCCAGCGAATCACAGCTCAAACTGGAGGAATAGCATCTCATCTTCAAAATAGGCAGTTTACAACCTTCTGGGCTCAATATTGAGTTCAGCTCCTTCCTTTTCTTTTAGCTTTGCTTGTTACGTTCTCTGTCACCTTCTCTCCCTTTCCTGCACCCCAGTGGGACTGTCTGTTCTTTCAAGTCTGGCAGTTAGAAACACCACTGTTCTGCCATTCTCACATTCCGATCACTTAATCCAAATTATCAACATCGTTTCTTCCCCAGCACTCCAACCCCCACAACCCCACTATTGCATAAGTGCTGCCCCTTCCACACTTCACTTCAGCCCTGATGAAGAGTCATCTAGACTCGAAATGTTAGCTTGCTTTCTCTCCATGGATGCTGCCTGACCCGCTGTGATCACCAGTATTTTTTGTTTTCAGTTCAGATTCCAGCATCTGCAGTAATTTGCTCCTAGGACTTCACTGACACCCACTTCCAGTAACTGGGAGCTGGGTGCAATGATCACTCGTTACTTGTAAAAATATTCGATATACAAGCAGCTAATTTTTGTTCCGAAAGGGTTTGTTTGCTTTCTGTTTACTTTTGCTGTTAGTGAATAATTGACTAGTTTAAAGCATTTTAAGGTTTTCCTGCATGTGATGGTCCCACACTGAACAGCTGTAAGATGCACAGTTATGGTGGGCACTGAGTAAAGAGTAGCTGTGACTTAGTGAGATTGTAAGATGACATGTTGTTAGGGAAAGGTGAATTGTGCAGCAGCCTGGTGGTTAAACAGTGATTGGGGTTGGAAAGAACTGTTGTACCTCAGTGCAGTGAGAAGTATTGATTTGTAGGTGCTGTGCCACTATGTTGATGTTGAAGGGCAACTCTAGACTGTCAATGCTTGACTAAGTGCATGGCTGGCATTAAAAGGTGGCATGGTGGAAGACATATCACGGCAGTGGCAACGAAATCCACCTATGGCAAGTGGGAGAATGAGACTTGCATCAGAAGAGAGACCATAAGACCATAAGACATAGCAGCAGAAATTAGGCCATTTGACCCATTGAGTCTGCTCTGTCTTTCAATCATGACTGATAAGTTTCTCAATCCTATTCTCCCTCCTTCTCCCTGTAACCTTTGATCCCCTTAACAATCAAGAATCTATCTATCTCTGATAGACAGGCATATTAGAGACTTGGTACCCAGTTAATGAGGTAAGTTTGGGATAATCACACGAGAAAATTTGTTAGGCCTCACAGAGAGAAACCCTCCATGAAACTCTGTGAAAATGACACTTAGCCAACAGCTGGTAAGATTCAGCAATAAGAGAAAATCCAAGTGAAAAACCATGGTGGATACTATGATAGGGGAGATAAGAACAATTGAGGAGGTGGCAGAGGAAGTCAGACCATATCACAATATCAAAAAACACAAGGGAAGTGATAAATCCTTACCTAACTCTTCATTAAGAAACAGTCTGGAGTTTAAGGGCTATCCCCCATGAAAAAATGTTGAATTTATTCACTGAATCATCTTGTTCACCAGCTGAAATTGACTGTGTTTTTCAAAAAATTATTCTTTGATAGAATATGCGTCTTGTTGCTCAAGCCCATCCCTAATGCAGTTGAACTGAGAAGCTTATCAGGCTATCAAAGACAGAAGTTGCTAGAAAAGTTCAGCAGGTCTGGCAACCCTTCCTCAGCATCCACAGTTCTTTCTGGTTTTATTTAGCTTATCAGACCACTTCAGAGGACAATTAAGTACTGATCACATTGTTATGGATCTGTAGTCACATCCAGGCCACTGCAGGTAAAAGTGGCAGATTTCCTTCCCTAAAGGGCATGAGTGAGCTGGGTAGGTTTTTACCAAATAGTTTCAATTCCATATTTTGTCATTCAGTTTGAATTCTAACAGCTGATGAGGTGCATTTCAAAAATTGTCCCTGATCATTTGGATTGCTAGGCCAAGATAACGCACTGAACTACCTACTTCACCACTATTTGTCAACTACCAAACAAATGAATTAACTTTCTCTCTTGATGAATTAAAGTTGTCTGATGACAAGTCACGCACTAACAATGGTTCACTGAGTAAAAAATTACAACTTAAAGCTAAAAGTTAAGCATACAAGCAATAAATGAACATAAAAGAACAATTAGAGTCGCAAATAATTAATGCACAGAGTTAGTTTACAACATGAATGAAAGGGGTTGTAAAGGGACTTCAGTGCATCACTATAATTCAGTGCAAATTAGATGCTATATTAATATATACTAGATGCTATATTAAATTTTAAATGAGATCATTGCTTCAGACATAAATTAGTGACACAAAATTACGATTAAAAGTCTTTATGGCTGACTAATTAACAACATTAGATAGCTAGGATAGATCAAAGTTTCACATTGATTACCATGGTTTCCAGATTTTATTTGATCTTATGACCAGTTTGGTTAGTTCAACCATCCTCCTTCTTTGGACACAGATACTAACGTCTACAGTATTACGTTGGTGAGTGCATTTGATAAAACAGTTGTCTTTTCTTTTTGGATCCTCTGTGTTAACAACCACCCCTGCATACTCAATGATATCCCCTTGCTGATTTAACTCTTATTTTTCCTGGTCTCAAACATTTGTATAGTTAATTGCCATACATCTCTTACTGTAACTGAGTGGTTTTGCCACAATTTAACTTATTTCTCTGATTATCTGGTCTGCTACACTTTGTACTTGTATAAGGACCACCTTGCAGCTATGAGTTAGAGATCACTTCCAGACAATAAAGAGAATCTTCTAACACAGATATGTAAGATAAAGATCGCAATTACCACAAAGAGATCTGGTTGGAGGTGAGCCAAACTCCTCCTTTATTATAACTTCAAAGAGAAGTTTTTAACATTCCCTTGATCAATTTGAGTGACGCATACTTCACAAAGTTTCATCTGTACTATTGCCAATCATCTCCAACTAATGTGGGGGTTGCTGCAGATGTCCCTGAGCCCTGAGCATGGCCTATGAGGTGATGAAGTCTGAATACCCTAGTCTAACTCTAAGTTTCAGTCACTTTGCCAATTAATCAAGTTGCAAGGATATTTGATAGCTTTATATCCATCTAGGAGCCAATCAATGGTTTTGGTCAAGTCTTTCAGTTTTCCACACAGGTCTACATTAAGTGATTGCGTGTTAAAAGATCTCCCAGCACTCGAAAGGAATGTCCCATTTATAAACATGAACATTTGGTTTCCAACTTAGAAGTTTTATGAATTGATTAGCTTAAAAGTTATTTGCCTGAGAACTTTTTGTTCCAGTTGCTTCCCAGCATGCAGTGTAACCATTGACTCCATCTTGTGGACAGCTTTCAAGCTAAAACTTCATAATGAACTCAGTTTGGCAATTTATAAGGCATTTCTCCAACAAATCAGGTAATGAGCAAAATTAACAAATCGGTGATGAGTGCTGATGGACTGAGTAGCCTCTCAACCTTAGGTAAAATGCTTTATAATTTGTTGCTTGTGGTACAAAAGCAGGTCATGTTTTGACAAGTTTTAGCTTCAGGAGCTGTAATTCACATACCAGACATATTTCGAAATTCTCCTTAAACTATATATTCAACTCAGACTATAAACATTAGTATATTACATAGTCTCACAATACTGCAACATTTGAAGCACGTGAACAACTTGACTAACAGACATTAAAAACTAACAAATGCTGCAGTTTGGTAATGAATTATTACAGCAATCAATGGTGAATCAGAAATATTTCAGAAAATGCCAGTGATCAAAAGCTCTATGGGATGATTTCAACACTAGTTTAGGGAGAGAGAAACGGGGTGTCACTGTAAACATTATTGCAGGAATGCTTTCCAAGCCTTCAGTTTAGCTCAGCAAGAGCATCTGTTGCAGATAGCTTGTTGAAGACACCATTTCTTGAATAGAAAGTATTATCTACAGTCCTCAATCGACCATGAACTGGTAACTGAAGTTCCTCGATGACATCACCTGGCCAAACAAGTTTGAAAATAAGCATTTAAAGGTTTTGTGAAAATTCAACTGTATGTTTTAGAATATTAATCAATGGTGAACTTTAATGAAGCTTTGTCAGCTGCAAATTAGTCAACTCTGCAATCCAAAACAAAATGAGGTTGGGTTTTTAAGAAAAATAGAATGAAGCTGCTCATTTATAGCCAGCCACTAGCTGGCTGTGAAATAGACTTATTGTTGAAAAACAGCACAGCAAACATAATAACTTACATTTGTATAATCCCTTTTAACTTTGAAAACATCCCAAAGCAATTCAGAACAAGGAAAAAAACATTACTCAGACAAAGGAGGAACGAAACGTGATAAAAGCAGAAAGTCCTGGGAAATCATGGTTGGCAGTAACAGAGCAGAGAGAAACAAGTGTTGACGTTTTGAGTACAACGCTCTTCTTTAGAATTTTCAAAAAACATCATGTTGGACTCAAAATGTTAACTCTGTTTCTCTCTTCCGAAATGCTGCCAGACTTGCTGAGTTTCTTTAGCTCTTTCTATTTTTATTCCAGATTTCCAGAATCCACAGTATTTTGCTTTCATTTGAGGAAAGATGTGTTATGGGTCTGTGCACTCCTTTTGTATTAACAAGGTGCTTTCTGTTCTCCTGGCAGTTCCCCTGGAGCATGATGCGCAATGTACGTTCAAGAAGTGGGGGAGGGTCAGGCTCAGCAATCAGAACCATAGCTTCAAAGTAATCCCAAATCGGGGTATTTGCATCGAGGCCCTGGAGAGGCTAATCCCTAAAACCCATCAAAAAAAAAGTGCAAAACCCAGTGTGAGGTACGGAGTCGGTAGTTATTTAATGCTGCCAACCAGTTGCCCTTGACCAATTTGAGGTACCTTTGCACTGCCACAATTTAAATCAGAATTGGTGCCCACGCTGCTAAAGCTCAGTAAGTGGAGGAAACTCTAGCATGTAAATGGACATGTCATTGAATCATAGAACCCCTACAGTGTAGAAGGAGGCCATTTGGCCCATCAAGTCCACACTGACCCTCTGAAGAGCATCCCATCCAGATACAGCACTCCCACTGTATCCCATAAGGCATGATTTAATCAGAGCTAACATTTCAAAGAGGTGAATCTAAGCCCTTGCAAAAGTATTCTTAATATCATTCAGTGATCATGGGGAGAAAACAAAGCCAGTGGCTGAAGTTTCACTGGAAAGTTGCAAGATAAAGTGCAGTGGATTCAATAGGTTGTTTGGCCTACTCTTATTTCTTATTAGGAAGAGTGGCCAAAAGGGGTCATTTTAAGAGAAGGCTTTGAAAGAAGTCGGCAAGTTAAGTCTGCCTTAGAGACATAATTTCTTAAAGTGAGAGTCTAGCAGATGAAGTGTCAATAATGGACAGAAATTAGCAGGTTCATATTTTTAAAAAGCCAGTTAAAGGCACAGAAAAGTTTGTGAACATGGTTTTGGGCTGGAGGAGGTTACAAGAGTTATGGAAAAGTAAGACTGTTTAAGACTGTAAACACTCAAGATGAGAATTTTAATTTTGAGCTATTAAGAATGAGGAGGTAGATGAGCAAAAAAAGGGTAGAATGCATTAATAGATGGTGCAGATTAGTATAATGATAGAGAAGTTAAAGGTTATGGAAGGTGAAGAATGAGAATTTGGACAAGAGTGTGTTGGAATAATTAATACTGGACGTAACAAAGCCATTTCTAAGTTTTTCAGCAACAAACTGGATGAAGTAAGGCAGAGATTGAGATGAAATCAACCAGCTTTTTGTCAGAGACTCAGGAATTGGAAAGTCAGTTCAGGGTTGAAGTGTAATTGCAGAATCTGCTCCAGACACACACACTGGTTGGAATAGGACCATGCAAAAAGAGTCTCAAGTTTGTGACAGAGCTGAAGAGTTTAATTTCTGTCTGAAAGATGTTACAGCTCATATAAGACCAATGTTAGACAAACAGTCTGATAGTACAGCCATAGTAGGAACTGTCGATGCTGGAGAATCTGAGATAACAAGGTGTAGAGCTGGATGAACACAGCAGGCCAAGCAGCATCAGAGCAGCAGGAAAGCTGACATTTCAGGCCTATACCTTTCTTCAGAAATGGGGG